ATCGAGGTTCAAATCCCAGTCGACTCATCCCAGAGACTTTGAAAAGATTGTGGCTCAGCTCGTCCCTGACCTGGAGAAGGCATTGTACCCTTTTCTGACACAAGACCATGGTCTCAGATTTAGAGGAGATGATTCTTGAGCACTCCAACGCTAAAAATGTTTCTCTCATTTCGATTAATGTCCTAACCCAAACTCAACATAAATAACTACACACCTGATACTAAAAGCATTTATCAACTGTGTAATGTCAATCCAATGCAGCCATTGCTTGTCAGTAGTATGAACATCACAGTAATGGTGGAGCAAACAAATTGAATTCAAAACAGAATCATATTAAAAATAAGAGAAAGGCAGAAACCTTCTTGCTCTCTACTCAAATCTATTCTTGCTTATCAGCATAGATTTCCCACCCTGAAAAACCTCCAAAATTTCAAAAAGACCACCAAGCTGGCATGACATGTTCCCCTCCGGCCACACTGTTGGTGCTGCGCTTTAGCACGTCCTCGCCATATTGTTTTGGCATTTAGTTAAATGCTGTTGAGCCTTATGCTGAGTGAAGTCTGAGCCTGCAGGCACAATTCTCACACATTTGCTTCCATTTGACACAAAACCCTTTTGTGCCTCCTGAAAAAAAATTGAAAGCATGCAAGTTTAGTTTCTCAATGCATACTCTCCAGAAAACGCAGGTTCAGGAGCGAGGGCGGATAATTAAACGCCACCACCTCCCTCTTTCTGATGGCTGTCTGAAGAGGATCAGACATTACGTAACAAATCATCTAAAGAGAAGAGCATGCCAAACTCATCAAGGGTCAGGCTTGTTTCCGATGGGGCCTCGATGCTCAGGCTCTTTCAGCACTGCAGTTCTGGGAAGCATCCAAAGCTCTTGCCAGAACACAAAATGCCAAACTGCGGCACTGAAAAGAATCCCAAGCAGAGGAACGAGCTGTTGTCCAAGCAGGGGGAAACATCTTGTGCTGCGTCTAATTACTTCTGCTAAAAGATTTCACAGTTGTGACCTTTCTCAAGCTGCCCAAACAGAGCCTGATTGGAAACTGAAGATGACTGGGCGGATATTCACAACAAGCTCATGCTTGACCACGAAACGCCTGAATGTTTACAAGTAATCATAATTAAATTAGCTCGTTATTTGCTTATAAGCCGTTTAAATATTTTATTCTTTTAAAAATGTATCAGTTGTGCAGATAGATTTTATTCTAACCAAAACACTAGCATGCTAAAAGGTCCTGAGGTAACAAAAGCTGCATGATGTCAGTTGAAGCTAAAGAAGTTGAGCAGGTTTGGAGAAAATCTTTCTACATGTTTACGACCCAATACATTCACAGCATTGTAAAATGTCTAGTCATCCCTCAGTTATTTATATTTTGCTTCCAAGCAACCCAAGTTTCCTTTAAACAATCTTGAGCAATACCTCTTTAAGTTTCTTGAAACTTTTTCACAGTCCACACTATTGTCCACACAGTCTCTGTCCAATTCTTGAGAAAAGGTTTTCGTTTTTATCTTTTAAACCTTTTAATTCTCATCTAGGAACAGGTTCAGAAAGCACCTAAATGCTAAAGATGAGCCAGAGATGTGATTCAGACGGGAGGAGAATCGTTTCAATCTTTCACCCGACTCACTAGGCATCCTTCATACTAGAGCTCACGGCACATTTATTGAAATGAGTCTAAAACTTCTTTAAAAATGCACCTAATTACAGTAATAATTACAATAATGATTGATCTGATTTTCCTGCCATGTGCTCTGGTCCCCTCAAAAGGACGCCGGAACCACTCAGACTATTAATCGGGACCATCAAACATGTTGAAGCGTGCCATCTGTTGAACGTGATGCCTAGCCAATAAGAGAGCGAGGCGACAAAAGCACACTGCATGCTCCTCCTCCACCATGTTTGTTTATTCCAAAGGCACATTCGAGCTGGCGATTTTCCATCTGACCAGGAACTTGAGTGAAGTCGGCTCATGTTTAGTGCGTAGCGTTTGACGTATAAAATTTTATTTTCTCATCAATAAGGCGTCTCTAAAAGAAATTTGCTGACAGCCTATGACACATTATGACCATCAGATCATATTACAGACCCAGTTTCAAGTCTTTGATGGATCATTTCTTCTAATAAAAGTAACATAATCAGGTTTAGAAGATTGTTAATAGTTCTTTTTAGACCTGAAACGTCCATTTTTAATCCTCAAACATTCCCACTTACCTCAATTTTTTAAACGCATGCAGCACAACATCTTGTCATGGTTAGGAAAAAGATTTGGACAAAAAATGAATTAAAAAAGCAGCTGAAGTGTAAAGAAAACTATTGTTCAAGATCACTTTCAGTCTGGCTCTATAAAGGAAAATTTTAAAGACTTGGGGTGTGGTTTAAAGTGTTTGCACAGTTCTGTGTATTTAAACAAACTGGTCAATGAAACGCTGAATATAAAAAGTGAAGAACAGATTCATTGTGTGGTAAAATAAACAAATATTTATACAAGATATATATTGAGAGTGACGATAGAAACAGGACACACCCAGACCAGTCTCCATCGAACCGTCTCCTCTGTATCAATGCCAGGCAGCTGGGAGACATTATACCTCCAGCGGGTCCTCACAAGAAGGCCCAGTTCACCCAGCACTGGTGAACCTCAAAATGACATGTCTATTATTCAGCAATTCTGTTTTCAGTTGGACGGAGTTCATAATTCAGTCACAGTCTGCTCGCTGATTCAGGGCGCTAGCGCAGAGTGAACTTCTCCACGTCAAGGGTATTTTTAGACAAGTCGAGGGGGTCAGCATCATGAATAGTCAAAGGCTGCGGCAATCTCAGCGATGCGATCTGTGCACCAAGGAGGACTTGTAGCAGAATAAGACTTGTGCATTGTTGTTTTCAAAAGGAAAGTAAAAAAAATGTGTAACAGTGAATGTTGAGCAGTGTAAAACCTCTAATCTGACCGTCCCTCATCAGAAACCTTCCTGGGTGCCAAGACGTGACATAGAGCAGAAATTAGCAGTGATAAATGCAGACATGAAAATTGGAACATGCTCCATAGCACAAGGCTGGAATGTGTTGCTATGAATACTGAAGCACCAGAGGGACCGGATTAGGAGCTTTGTTTCACAGTTTTTGGATTTAGGCTCTGTGGGAATGGAATTATTCAAAAAGCCAGAGAAAAGCAAACACTTGAAACATTCCTGTTTATGTGGAAAACTCTGTAGACATGTGGCATGGAAGTTCATACTCTCACAGCAACTACCAGTTGCTGTCAAAGATCCTGAATCTGAAATGTAAATAATTATTAGGGAACTAAGGTGTTTCATCCCTTTACTTCAGGAAACTTTGTGCTAGTACCGCCCAGATGCTGCTAAACTCACATCAGGAGGATTCGCAAAAGAACCGCCAGATGCCAAATTGAACATGGGTGGTGGCTTTGGATGTTGGTAAATAAGTACCAGAAGTTGATTTTTGACCCCATTGGCTTTCCACAAGGCCCAATTGTGACTAAAGCCTGATTTATCGTGTTTGTATTGTTTTAATGAATTTCTGAGACGTTTTATAACATGGACGAATTTGTCCCTCATTCTCCTCCATGTCTTCATGTGGTCGCCACCTCTAAATAATACGAATAAAACGTTTGCTCCGTATTTTTGTACTCTCAGTCCCGAGTGAATAAACATTCACATTTTTGGACTTTTTCCGCATAGTTTTCTTCAATCTGTTACGCGTCTGCCACTAAATATTTCTTTACTTTTTAACAGGGCAATGGTGGTGCTGTCGACGTATTTAAAGGAAGCGGCGTCCTGACCAATCACAAGGTTGCGATCTCCATGACTTTTGACAGTTAAAAATTTGGGCATTTCTCCGTCACCCTCTGTCAGACAGCCCATGAGCAGACGCATAATGGAGTTGCGCGTCTCCGTAATGACGCAAAAGTATAAATCAGGCTTACCTGTTAACTCATGAAGCTAGTCGAAAGGAATCTCTGTTTCTCCAGACTGAGGTTGTTGAAAAAATACACAAAATAAACTGAAGTGTGCCTGAGGGTAAAGCCTGCATTAATTATTAAAAATTAAGAACATTCTATCAAAGTCATTCATTTAAAAATAAAAATACAACTATCTTGATTTTTTTTTTGAGTAACCCCATTTTTCCACTGGATGCAATGCAGAACATCTATGTAGCCTAGTATGCAGCTAACAGCCGCCGGTATAGTCAATGGGTTTGTTTCTACCGCCATGAAGAGGCACATCCCACAAGTGTAGCGCCGCGTCCTTCTGCTGAATGTACACAGAGTCTATTTTCTAAGCTCCAGAACATGTCAGTCAAACACAGGGAAGTGCAAACCATCTGGCAACTTTTCAAAATAAAAGAAACATGCAGATTTCCAGTCGCATATCTTTAAAAGTGACATATTCTAGGCTGACATAAAGAACACCATAGGATACAAACTTGGAAGAATGTTATTCAGTGAATTGATGAAATCACACGTGATCTTGCAAATCTCCTGTGATTTTGTGATTCTGCAGGACCAGTTGCATGGAACACATGGAAAGGCTTTCGGTTGGGAGGGAAAAGCCCGGGTAGAACTGTAGTTTAGTTCTAAGAACTTCCCGGCAACATGGCTTACATATCAAATAATTACAAAGTGCATTGACTTCTGATCTCAGGATGAGTAACAAACTAGAATCTTATCATGGCCTAAGGTCAGCGGACTCATGCAGGGATTTACCAGAAAACCGAATTAGACATGTACTTACGGGTACACTGGAATCGCGAGTCAAACACACTGCTCCTGTGTCTAAGTGTGTGTGTGTGTGTGTGTGTGTGTGTGTGTGTGTGTGTGTGTGTGTGTGTGTGTGTGTGTGTGTGTGTGTGTGTGTGTGTGTGTGTGTGTGTGTGGATAAGTACAACAACTTGAAAATGATGCAAACTGCTGTCAACTTCTTCTACAAACTAGACTTCTCTTTTGCAAGCAGACAGTGCCTTTTTTTCGACAGACCTGAATCTCCTCGTACGCCTCGTCAATGGTGGTCACCTGGTGCTGCTCGTGCAGAGCTGGCTCGTCGCAAAAGAAGCACACCAGGCTTTTGTCTGTGAGGCAGAAGAGCTTGACCTTCTCGTGGTCTTTGCAGGGGTAGGAGCTCCTCTGTGCGTTTAGGATAGCATCAAGTGGGAAGGCCGAGTAGCGCTCCACAATGTTTGACAACTTGAGACTGGGTGACAGGAGCGGATCGGCAAAGGTCCTCCTGCACTCGGGGCAGTCCCTCACTCCGTGAAGTTCCTGTCTGCTCCAGTGCTCGGTGATGCACTTCCTGCAGAAGTAGTGCTCGCAGCCAAAACTGACGGGGTCCTGGTAGATGCTGAGGCAGATGGAACAGAGGAGCTCGTCCTTTAGACAGCAAGCCATTTGCAAAAGCAGAGGCTGGGCTGCATTTAAGAGGACAATGTTCACTTGGTTTAGCCTCTAAGTCAATGCTTCACATGTAGGTGTAGGCTGAATATATTCAGAAATCTTCAGAATGGATGTTACCGTCACTGCTGGAAAACACACTGATATCAGGATCAAATGCGTCAATTCATTTAATCTAAGAAGAACATTTTAAACAATGGGGAAAACACTGCAATTGCAGTAGATTATTTGGGTAAAATATTAACTAAATGAATTTCTATACCCCTATTCCCCTTGGAGAGAGCTTACTGTGAGCTGTTAGTGCTGGATCTCATTTTATTACGCCATCAGTGCCTGATCATGGCAACATTGAGTTGACCGTTAAAAAAACCTGCTGATCATTAAAATATTGATCTTTCACAAATTCATGAAGGATTCATCCTGAAAAATCTGAGTATTTGGTATGTTTTTAGACTTTAATGATAATATTAATTGTTATCAAGTCATTTCGCTGTGAAAAATGATACAAAGTTATGAGACAACACTCAAAACCCATCTGTAACTGAAATAATAGCAGCATAATGTCATTAAACGTAGTCGTTAGAGAACAGGTTGACTTTGGTTTTGTCAGATTCTGCCTTAACCTGAGGCAACACCTGGTTTCCGGGATAAGCTTCATTCCCCAAATCCTAGAAACGTGTTCTTTTAAATAAATGACTTTTTATTGACATGTCCAGCACCAACTGCTTCCATCAGCCTCCTATCCAACAGGAAAAACACCTGCAGCCGTTGTCTCCTCTGTCGACCTCCCTGCCCCGTGATTAAAAATGAAAAAGGCTCATTTGAATTTCTCTTCTATGTGAGAGTTTCAACAGCCCGAATTAAGCTTTTGGATTCTAGGCATCAATCAACAAACCACCAACATATGCTGCAGCACCGCACACACTTTATTTAATCCACCTTGCATGTTAGGTGGATTTGTAAACACAACCGACCACAGAAGGGGCAGGATGAATGAGGGACACACACACACAAAAAGAGGAATAACATGAATTAAACAAGCTACGTATTAAAACATGACACTTCCGGGTGTTCTATATGACATGAACGTAACTTAATGTGAAACGACTTGGCAATAAAAGTGGATAAAAGCGGAGAAATAGCAAGAACCTACCGAGGTCTTCGTAGCGACATCAGTGGCTTTAACACAAGTGTCTCTTCAGGAAGAGGAGCGACACAGCGGCAACAGACGAAACCAACTGTGTTTGTCAGTGGGGGTGGACTCGACTGACATTTATTATTAAAAATATAATAAACATGTTATTTTGAGTGTAAAATTTAAAGATTAATACGAAATAAACCTTATTTAGTATTAATTAGTTACTTAAATAATTTAATTGTTGTGTATGTTGCTCTGTGAATACGTCAACACCCCTCCACAATGTCAATGAAATAACCCACACTTCCTCTCTCCTTTTTAGCTGTTTTTATTTCAGCAAAAAATAAAATACGCTGGCAAATAATTGCATCTGCGTAATGAATAGTTTGGAGTACAAAAATTTTGGACTCCTCACCCATAAAATGAATTATTCATCTTAAAACGTTTTAGTGGAATGAATGAAATTATAAGCTGGTGCTTTGCTCTCCTGCTACCAGCAGGCGGCAGTAGCATTCAAACAAATCAATTAAGAAAACAAAAAGATGAAATACTGCTCTAATTTAATGACACAGCTGCATTAAATGATCATTTATTATACATTTTATGGCGCTAATAATTTGAATCTGCAAACGATTTACGGTTCTGTTTTTAATTAATGCCTTTGCTTTCCTTTGATTTGCTGTTCGTAAATCAGAATCAAGCTGCAAAGGTTTCTAGCATGTTTCATCAGATAGAGTAAGAATCCAGGACTGTGTGTTTATTCTTTCACACAGTTGTGTCAGTGTACATCACATTTTAGATTGGCTCTGCAAGTCAAATAATCACCCTTTTTTATTTTGTGACTCATGTGAGGGTGAAGAAAATGACACATATTCTTGTTTTTATTGCGTTACATAGGTTAAAAAGGTAATAATCACATATTCATGTAGAACACACTGTATATACATATAAACAAACATCTGTTTGTGGAAATACTTCCAATACAAGGGAATGTTTTCGGTAGAACTGTTTTCACTACAGAACAATATTATAAACTCTAAATCACAAGCTTTTCAGCCTTTTTTTCTAGCTTTTACGTGTTGCAATAGAGACTCTCCTGAACTGACGCCTTTGAAGAACTGCCTGCTTCTTGTTCTGGGGTGATGAAGCACTCTTCTTCCAATGCAAAAGAAAGTTTAGAGTCTGCTTGGCTTAAGTCTGAGGGCTGGAATGAGGGCCCGCCACAAGACCCGTTTCCTAAATGCAAAGTGATGTTGACGTTGACGTGGGGACTGTTTGTTACTGGGTTGAAGATCTGTGGACTAGTGGGCTGAGAGGTGCACTGTGTTTGGATACTGGGCTGGAGGCTGACAGGTTCTGTGTTGGACAGTAAACTCATGGGGTCTGACAAGGCAGAGGTGGGACTGTTGAGAGCTAGAGTGGGCTGTAAAGAGCCAGTGGACTCAAGGTTGGTGTAATCATCCACTTTGGTTAAAGTTTCACAATTGTTGTTGCGTTGAGTTTGGTCAAGTTCCCCTTTCTTTAAAAGACACTCCTGGTCTTGTGAGGTCAGCGTGAAAGAAGCCATCTGAGACTCAACCAAGTAATTCTGGTCAACCTGAAGGTGAAAAAAGGAAAAGTTCAATCAATCAATGGACCGACTGACCAATTGATCAATTGATATTATTCATAAAGCACTTTACACACATGCAGCGACCAAAGTGCTTAAAATGGTTAAAACCAAACCCATTAAAACACAATACAATAAAGGAAAACTAGCTTCAGATAAAAGTGATCTGAGGCACTCAGGCAGATGCTAATGATTAAAAAGCCTTTATTATTCCATGTCAACTAGTTTCAGATGAACCAGACGAGAAATGTTTGTGCCACAGACCCGTTGTTTCTGAAGCTGTGTGCCCCCCCCACCCCCCCCCACCCCCCCCCCCCCCCCACACACACACTTTTTTATAAGGTGATTTTGAGCAATTTACGATTTCTACTTATGTTTACTAAAATTAGGTGGAACTTTAGGTTAGTGAGGTCTATTACAAGTGTGGACTTTGGACCACACACACACACACATGCACGCACGCACACACACACACACACACACACACACACACACACACACACACACACACACACACACACACACTTTTAAAATCAAAATTATTTCCTTGACTGAATTCCTCCACAATTATTTCTAAAAAAAGAAAGAAAGAAAAGAAAACACACACTTTGCAGCCTGCCTAAAGGTAAAGTTGAAATTTAGATTATGGTGATGATGTCACTTAACCTGAGACATGCAAAAACAATGGAATAAAACAGGTTTGTGTTTGTTAAGAAAATGATTGTTTAGAACTACTTTGAAAAAAAGTCAAATGAAAAAAGCTTAAATAAAAGGAAACCTCAGCCAAAGAACTGTAACTTTGTTTAAATAATAGACAGAAAAACTGCGTAATATCAATATTTCTGACAATCACCAGCAAATGAACATTGTGTAAATGTGCAGAGGCTGAACAGAAGGCAGAGCAGTAATGTTGCAGAAAAAATATGTGAAAAACAAAACGAGATGCACAAAGACGAGAACATCAACCTTACTTTCTCTAAAGTCTCACAGTTTCCATTTGCATCCACTTTAGGATGTGACTTTGCAACGTCTGCAAAACAAACAAAAAAAGACAAAACTTTCGGTAAGAGTAAACTGGGGAAAAAAAAAGAATCTAATAATAACGTTAATTTATGTTCTACTTAAAAACTGATGATGAAATGACTTTTTATTGCTGGATGTCGTTACCTTTCCTATAGATTATTTTGTAGAGGAACAGCAGGAGCATGAGGACGCTCAAAAGCAAAAGGAATCCAACGACACCAGCTGTGACTGCAACTAAGAGGGGGAGCGAGAGAGATGTGACTCAGGTGTGATGTGATAAAGAACATCCTGAAGCACCGAGGTTGTACCATGTTCATCCTCTAGGTGACTCATTGTCGGAGGACTTGTGTTCGCTGAAACCAAAGAACTCACGGCCCGAGTGGAGGTTGTTCTGCTGTGAACGGTCGGGACTAAGTTCGCTCTGGTTGACGGGAGTTGAACCGTAGTTGTGTCTGAGGTCCGGGCCCGACAGTGATCGGAATAGGAGAGTTTATCAGAGAATGTCCCACTGGGGCACGGCTCACACTTCACATCTGCGTCCGGCTTGACTGACAACAATAAGAAACAAATGTCACAGTCGTGCCTTTAATTACCTGGATGTGATAATTAACAGGTTAATGTTAGATAAAAACAACAAATACGCATTTAAGAGTCTAATCAAAGGAAAAAACACCTTCATCTTCATCTAAATGTATGAATGTTATAAACCAAAAACAAGACAATCCTGTCATATGTAAGGCATAAACGACTGTGCCTACCTGACCCAACCACTCCAAAACCAGGTTTGCATTTTGTGTACATCCTACAATCGTCGCAGTACGGGGCCTTAAAGCCCAGATGACAGAAGTGTCCAGGTTTGCAAACACACTTAGCGTTTTGTGTAGAGGTGCAATTCCTTTGAGGCTCAAGATGTTTTTCTGGACAAACACAAAAACATATCAACACAGTTGTTATTCAATTAAACTACACAGAAAGTGAACAAACCTCATATATTTGCATACATTGCCGTGCATTTTACTGACCTTCCTTGCATTTAGTGCAGGAAAAACAGTTTGGGGAATAGTTAATGTACTCCGTGTACATCCCTGGTCCACATGGCTCACACACACTGTCTCTAGTATCAGAGCACTCCGCTTTCAGTCGATGGCCTGTGAACAGATGTGGTTTAGTCATTTTACAGATATTTGAATTGTGAGGAGAAAAACCAGAAAGGAGCTTCTCAGTCCAACAACAATGCCAGAAACTATTTAAAGGTGCAGTGTGTAGAGTAAAGGAGGATGACATCCTGTGGTCAAATGTGATTAGTGCAATCACTCTTACTCCTGTTATGTGGGTTACATGACTGTTGCCAGTTTACAGATCGGCGCCAGAAAATTATAGATGACAAACAGAAATGAGTCATACACAGTAAGTTATAAGAAGATAAAAACGTTATCATAGCTGGCGCTAACACTTTGGGTGTTTTACAGCAGGAAGCACTTACTGCACTTATTACGGTAATGTGCCTAGGGCATAGAGCAGAGGTCCTCAATTACAATGGTCTGAGGTCCACTCCAAAAAAAGACCCAAGGCAAGAGGTCCAGGGGGGCGCTTAGCTGCTGGCTGTTCATTACACCAGCCACACATGGCCCTCGGGCCGCCTACTGAGGACCACTGGCATGGAGGAAGTGTTGTTTTTACTGTCTGGCTGGTAGCTTGCTGTTATTGCTCTAAATGACTCATTCAAGAAAGTTAAACACCAAGTCTGACTCGTTAATAACTTCACACACATATTTCACTGTAATATTGAGTTGTTGGTAATCGAAAAAGTAGTTTGAGAAACTTTTAGAGCTGACTATTTGTTTCTAATTCACCGTTAGCATTGTTAGCTCTAGCCTTTCTTACCCGATACTAGATTAAAACAAAAAGATGTTAATAATAATAATACATCAAACTTATATAGCACTTTTTAGGACACTCAAAGATGCTTCTATGCACTCTCACATTTACACACTGCCAGCGATGGTAAGCTACTACGTGGCCACAGCCGCGCTGGGACGGTCTGACAGAGGTGAAGCTGCCATTTGGTGTTGGTGTTGACGTCAGTTCTTTAAAGAACTCTGGAACATTTTGCCGACCGTCGTCGAGTTACAAATGCCGGCCACCTCACCCTCACTGATGGTAAAAGTTAGCTACGTCCCTCCTTCCTTTATTTTGAAAGGAGAAAAACTGGCAACCCCCAGCTGGCTTGGAATGAAACATGTTTGTCTGATGGGTAATATTCACTTTGCCCCAATTAGGCGTTTCAGTTCTGACAAAATTGATGTCCCTGTGTGTCCTGATGTAAATATATCCCCTGGCTACTGTTCCAGAACATAGAGTTTGCTCATCACTGCTCACCACTTCTTTATGTTAAATTTCAAGCTGGGTCTTCCTGTCTCTCTCACTACTTCTGCTGCAGCAGAAATGCGGTTGGGAAAACCCGCTGAATCAGTCTGACTGCACTTCCCACACACCTATGTATGAGATCTAAACGATGAATGCCAACAGTAGTGACAGGCAGCATTCAGTGACTTGAAAATAAAGCACATTTTTGAGGCTAATAAAGAAGGGCTTCAACTCAAAAAGAGCATAAAGATTGTTCTGTGGTGTAAAAACAAACAGAAGTGATCCTGATGACTCCACATCAGATCAAGTGATTTTCCCATCATCCCTTGTGTAACAGCACACATCACTGACCAGTATTAAGACCTGGGGATGCTTCAGCTGGCTTTGTCAACTAAGCAAACTTTAAAAGTCCAAAAACGACACTCAGTTGACCACTTAACACATAGTCTATAGGACAAAATGCAGGGTTTCATCAAAATCAAACTTTTAATTATTTGCTCTTGAGTGTTTTGTTTAAAATCAAGCAGCGGCACGTTATCTGAAGATTTCTGTTTTGATTGTGCAGGGAAAGTAGACGTTAGACAGGTTTTCTATTCCACATAAAGCACCAGAGGAACCAATTCTAACCACATGCAGGGTGGAACTCTACAGCTAATGTGCATGTGCTGCGAGGACCCAGTGAAATGGGAAGTTAGCTAACTGCATGCCTGACAGAGGCTGCAGTGAAATGGGAGTTTTGGGGGAAAAAAGCAAAGACGTTGTCAGAGAAACACTGGGACTGGGAACTTTATTGCTGCTGGTAACGAGAGTAATCTGAGTTAAGCTGTGAGTTTCACATATTCAGGCTGGTTTAGAGAAGTGCTGAGAGTGTGAGATGTGGGTGGAGCCTGATTAGCATATTAGTACACACCATTCCCTGAGTGAGGATCAAAACGCAGTGTCATCGTCTAGTAGAAATGCTGGTGGCACTCCAGGTTTTTGAGTGGAATAAAGCAGAGAGATGCTGGAAATCTCTCGATTTTGTTGCCAGAATCTTAAATGTTATTTCCTCTAATTTATCATCCATTGGACTTATTTTTGACTGGAAATTGTTTGTTGTTGTTGTTATTGTTGTTGTTAGACTCAAGGGAAACATGCTGACTATCACTTCTACGTCGCTTTGGACAAAAGTGTCTGCTAAATACATAAACATAAACATTTTTGTGCTTGAAATTTATTCAGAACAGTGTTGGACCTAAGTAGCTATTTTATTTCCTCATTTTGTAATATGAATGAAAATCAACATTTATAATAGAAAATCTTAGATGCCAACCGATGAATTAAATGTTTTGTCAAAAAAAAAGAATGATTTTAATCACCTCTGAAACATATAATCTTGAAAAGACCTCACCCAATCATTTTGAACACCTTGTTCTTAATGATCAAATATTAAAGCATTCATCAAACTGGCCCTTTCCCTTCTACACATAGCCCTCTTTTTGCATAAATTGTTCTACGGTTGTCTTTCAAACAGTCTCCGCACGCTTTTGGACAATGAACAACATGATGTACTCACCGCTACGAATGTCAGTTAACGAGGAAGTCTGCCCTACACTGTCAAATATAACGCAAACACATTGTTTTTCTAAAAAAAAGGACTAAAGTACCTCTATCTGCTTTTGGCTCAAAGAAAAGCCAAAGGCTAAATAGGCCAAAATAGATTTCAAACCCTTTCAAGCCACCGTCAGCTTCGTTGTTCCACTCCATCGCATCATCCCGCCCACCAAAACCGATAGAGCTCTGTGATTGGCATAACACAAAACCGTTCAGCCAACGATAGACCTGCTGAGGCTCCTATGGAGCGTGGCTAGACCGACATGCAGAGCTAAATCATTTTGCTTTGACTACTGTCTGTCTCGATATCTATGTCAGTGACAAGTTTATTTATATAGCACATTTCCAACAATCAGAGACTGCACAAAGTGCTGTACACAGACAAGCAGTAAAAATAAAATGATAAAACACTGAGAGCCTTCCAGTAGACTCTAAAATTACTTAATGTTAAAATCAGTTAAAAGCAAGGGTAAAAAGGTAGGTTTTTAAAAGAGACTTAAAAGCAGAAAGGCTGTTAGCAGACCTAATCTGTAGGGGAAGGCTGTTCCAGAGCTTGGGGGCGGCCATAGTAAAAGGCTCTGTCGCCTCTGGACTTCAGCCTAGACTTGGGAACAGATAATAGATGTAGAGAGGATGATCGGAGGTTTCGTTTGGGGACATGAGTGTTTAAAGGTTCCGACAGATAAGGAGGGGCCAAATTGTGTTGTGCCTTAAAACAGATCAGTAGCATTTTAAATTGAATCCTGTAAGTGATCGGGAGCCAGTGAAGAGCTTGTAAGACTGGTGTTATGTGATCCCTGTGCCTCCTACCTGTCAGCAAGCGGGCTGCCATATTCTGAGCCACCTGCAAGCGGTGAATTGACGACTGCTCCAGTCCATGATAGAGAGTTGCAGTAGTCGAGTCTCGACATGATTAGCAGGCTATCAGATTCCCCATAAACAAGAAAAAAACACCACACCTTTTTAGCTAGCAATCTAAATGATTATACGGTTTGGTAGCTGCATCGGTATATAGCAGAAAAGGTGCCAACAACAGGTCAACATGAAAAACGGAACACTCCGGAACAAGCACTGAGCGTTTCATGTATTTTGGAGATAAGGGATAAGCCTGAGAAAGGAGGTTGAAACTTAAAATTGCATATTTTCAAAAAGCAGCTTTCTTGAATGACAAGAAAAGCATACAGGTTACAAATAAGCTGTCAAGATCAGTGTATGCATCGTTTGAGGGTCAAGCAAAGTTCATATGCAATTAAATTATAATTTATGTGTATTTCAAAAGCACTTGAGCCAGATTTTATGTTCCTTTCCCAAATTAAATGTTCTTCCCTTTTTTTCTCTATTAGCTACAAGAAGGAGTGCACATTTTTAGGTAAAACGCATTCTCTGGCATGCAACTCGACTCATTTACCAGAGAAGTGGGGCGTAAACGAGCGTAAAGCAATCAAGTGTCCACCGAGTGGAGGAGATAAGATTAGCAGCAACAGGAGATCAGGTTGTGGCTTGAGGAAGGAGCTGGTGGAAACTTAGAAGTAAAACTGCATTCCTGTTCTTTGGACTAACTACTGTTGTTGCACTGTTTCCTTTATTAAAGGACATTGTGAACAAACTGCAACTAAAGGAAGAACTAAAAAAAAAAAACAACTGTGTTTCCTTGTAATTTCACACAGAAGGAGAAAAACCCTGCAGCAGATTTCTGCTTGAAGTGACAGTAATCCGGGCTAGTTATATACCAATGAACACAAATCAGATAAAACAAGACATTTTTCTTCTGAGTTACACAAAACACTCATTAAAAAAACAAAAGGCACATCTTCAAACTGGATGGACTTGATCAAAGTCGGACAAGTAACAGCATCGGTGTCTGCGTTAGGTCCTTTGTTTTGCAACAACACTCCCAGATGGCTCAGATTACAGTCGTTCTGATCACTGAGGAACTGCTGGTTGGTTCTTTAAATGCTAAAAAGCTTCAAAGACTCCACAATAGCACCAGATGTCAAGAATTAGAACAAAGTTCTTGTGAACGCAAACTTAAAGGCACATTTTGGCTCCAAAAACACACAAAGAAGTGTTTCACTCATCATACAGGATACATTTTTAATCGTATACTTGTCACATGCAGCTGAAGATGTTATGCACTCATGTAAATTCATGATGATGAATTAAAACATGTTCAGGCATAACTGCAGGATAAATCTAACATGTTATTTACAAACTGGCAGAGTGTAGAGTATTTAGAGCATTTGTCTCCTAAAGAAAATAGAAGATGAGCTTTCAAAATGTGCTCGTTTGTAAATCACACCCCTAACAAAAAAAAAAACCCCACATGAACTTTATATGTGACATATGCAAAACAAGCAAGTGTGAAATACGTGGTTTCACAACATCTTAATGGTCACAAAATGTGAAAATTTTACAAAGTTCCACTCATTGGGCAACACGTTTGTACATATTACAACATTTACCACATGTTACATCATTATCGTGTTAGCATTATATGAAAAAGATTGATTTCTTGTAGTTTTTCTGTAGCAGCTGCATTACTAGACAATAATGTTGGACTCAATTTACTTCATTGGCCAAGTTTTGCTTCTCTTGTTTTAGGAGTGAGGAAACAAATGCTCCAAATAAGGTTACAGTCAAAGAAATAAAATGTTGAATTTATTTAAAGAGGCCCTTCACTGAGAAACCATTTTATTTTGGAAATGATTGGTCACTCTGAATTTAATATGCAGGCTGAATGTGAAAAATGTGTCCTACACCTATTTCCTGCAGTAAATTCAACATTTAATTTTTACAGCGTACTTCCTCAGATATGACACATGTAGTTTCATGTACTTGTGATTTAAATGTAGTCAAACTTTTTGTCTCAAGCTTTTATTTATTCTGACTTCAATTACTTTATTTAACAGAACAACATCTTGGTTAAATACTAGTTTCTTGCATTTTTAGTCCCAAGGGAGATTTTTTTAAAAATATAATTTTGTATTTGAGTTTAAAATTTTCTTATTGGAACAATACCATATAAGATATTTTTGGGGAATAACAGTACATTTCATGGGAAAATTTTCTACATTTTTATCATAAGACTTCTTATGTAACCACTCCAGAGTTCTGCTTTGTTGTTTACATCAGGTGCACACTTCCACGCCTAAACTCTGACCACGGTGTTTCAGGATGTGTGTCATCAAGAAGCTACTGTAATAGATCTCAATGAATGGCGTGAGTCTTTCTTTTGGAAGAAAAAAAAATTAAGATTACAGATGCTTCACAGAATAGCTCTTACCAGGGCTGCACTTCTTACAGCACAAGTTCAGATCCTCCTGGAGGTACACAGTGGTTTGGTTGAGACAGTTTCCATCTGAATCTGGCTGATAGGGGAGGCAGCAGACCTGTAGGGGAGGAGAGCATGAAAAACTCAATCTGAACTCTAAAACCCACGTTTACTTTGTGGTAACAGATCAGTGAAGATTTAACTACATTTGTTTGCTATAATAAGAAGAACATAACCACTGAGTGGGCGAGTCAGCTTTAAAATAGAAGCCCCATTTAGTAGCAGACCACCCACACCTGCTCACTGCTTCATCTGCAACAACTTTATAAGCATGCTCACCTCTGGGGACCATGGGCACTGAAGTAACTAAACTTCTAGTGTGGTAAAAGGAAAGCGTGACACAGTTACTGCTCACACAGTCGGTGTTAAGCTGCCTCACCACTGCAGCGATGATTAGCTAGAATGTGCTGCGGTGAGTGTCTGGTGTTACAGGAAGGAGAAGTGGTAGACCTGGATGTTTCTGAACCAGATCTGGTGCTACAGAGGTAGTCAACTGAAATGGGTTTCCGAACAGTCTTGAAGGACTACCTCTTGAAGCTCACCAAGAGAATGCCAAGAGTGTGAAAAGCAGTAATCAAAGCAAAGAGTAGCTTTTTGAAGAACATAGAATATAAAACATGTTTTCAGTTATTTCACCACATTTGGTTAAGTACATAACTACATGTGTTCATTCATAGTTTTGATGCCTTTGGCCTGTTCTCTCTCTCTCTCTCTCTCTCTCTCTCTCTCTCTCTCTCTCTCTCTCTCTCTCTCTCTCTCTCTCTCTCTCTCAGACACACTATCTCACTCCATGTGTTGTATGTGTTTTCATGACCATTTACATTGGGAGATTCTCACTGGAGGCATCAAAACTATGAACATGTTTTATATTCTATTTTCTTCAAAATATCCACCCTTTGCTCTGATTACTGCTTTGTACAATTTTGGCATTCTCTTGATAAGCTTCAAGAGGTAGTCACCTGAAATGGTTTTCCAACAGTCTTGGAGTTCTCAGAGGTGTTTAGCACTTGTTGGCCCCTCTGTAAATGGTCATGGTGATGAAAATAAAGAAAAGACATTGAATGAGAAGGTGTGTCCAAACTTTTGGCCTGTACTGTATATAAAATAACAGTATAGCACACACACACACACACACACACACACACACACACACACACACACACACACACACACACACACACACACACACACACACACACACACACACACACACACACACACATATGCCTACCTTGGTCGTTAGGACACCCAGCAGAACCAGCAGTGTCCACATGTCCTTCATTGCTCCTTTCCAGTAAATCAACAGGACAGAATGCAGCAGCCAGCCCGTGAGCTGTACTGTTCATCTTCCGAAGGCGGGTCAAAAAAAAAAAAAAAAACTTCCTTGCAACGACACGAGTGCTTGGGGACGGAAACGAGCAGACGCTCTTACCTACTTTCACAGAACTGGTGTCAACTAATCATAATGAGGTTAGAGAGAGGAGAACGCGTCCCTCATCCAATGTGCCGACACAATGTCGGGAAATCTGCAACGTCACAGGCTTAGTTTTTATGTTGATCTCAAAGTCAGCTGAAATTTTTGTTGCAAACAAATAAAAATAAATAAAATAACACACGCATAAATAAAACGAATAATAAGCCAAGAGTTTACTCATCAAATCATCTATAAATCATTATTTTAGAAGAGGCTCCAGGAAAAGAAACCGCACAGGGAAGTTGCCACGGTCTTCTCTTGGTGAAATCTGCTGATTTGGAAAAAAAAATAAAAAAAATAAATAAATAAATAAATAACCAGAAGCGACATCGTGAAGATTAATTCTCTCTCCTAGGATCAGCATTCAGATCCTCTGAAGTCCAAAAGAGGCAGACTCATTGAGCTGCATGCACTAGCATTCATTTAATCACATGTATTATTGCAAAGTGAAACATCATTAAACAAAATCACCCTGCAGTATTATGTGGGAGGCTTGACTTTCATCTGTGGGCTGATTCATTGTTTTGTAAAGAAAAAAAGTTAAATATGTTGTAATAAATGTTCAGTGCACTTTATTTATTCTTCCCAGGATCATAATGCAAACTGTTGAAAATAAAAAAAATCTAATATTTGAAGTCATTTTTCTTTGGAAGCTTGGTGTGCACTGATCCAACCTATATAGCAAAGAACAAGTTTTCCTACTAAACACAGTCAGAATTCTTTGTTGATTTTTTTTTAAGGATTAAAGTCTAATTAAAATGAGTTTCAATAGAAAATTCAAGGTTCCACTTGGGCTGAGGAGTTTGAGTGTCCCAATGTTCTTAGGAGCAAAGTTGTCTGAGGCTTTATGCCTCTGGTAGGGTCACCCATGGCAAACACGTCCTAGGTGAGGGATCAGACAAAGAACTCATGTGATGATCATTACTTCAAATGGAAACAGTGTTACCTCGCCTGGACGTGGCTCACCGGAGCCCCCCTCTAGAGCCAGGCCTGGAGGTGGGGCACGTTAGCGAGCACCTGGTGAAGAACAGCTGGGCATAACTCAAAGAGGAAACGTGAGTTCCCCCTCCCATGGGCTCACCGCTTGTCGGAAGGGCCAAAGGTTGGGTTCAATGTGTGGTGACCAAAGGCAGTCTGATTCTCAGCTACAGAAGCTGGCTCTAGGTACGTGGAATGTCACCTCTCTGTGGGGAAGGAGCCTGAGTTGGTGTGTAAGGTTGAGAGGTTCCAACTACATATAGTCGGACTCACCTCGACGCATGGTTTTGGCTCCAGAACCAGTTTCCTTGAGAAGGGCTGGACACTACCACTCTGGAGTTGCCCCGACTGAGAGGCACCGAGCAGGGGTGGGCAAACTAGTTGCCCCCCATTTTGGTCCATGTACATTGGGGTTTAGCCCAGTGAACGAGAGGGTAGCGTCCCTCCACCTACATGTGGGGGATGGGTCCTGACTGTGGTTTGTGCTTATACACCAAACTACAGTTCAGACTACCCACCCTTTTTGGAGTCAGAGTGGGCCATGTTCCATGCTTGCATTGTCATACCATACCACCTTTATTTATATAGCACTTTAAAAACACAGCCGGCTGACCAAAGTGCTGAACAGTCGCACAATAATAGAGATAAAAAAAACATAAAACAGTACTATAAAATACAGCCAACAATAAAAAAAAAGACAAGCCGATAAAAAAGTACCAATAAAACCTTACAATGGATGATAAAATAAGCGTAACAAACACCAAACTAACAGCTAACTGTTAAATGCAAGGGTAAAATAGTGTGTCTTTAGTCTAAGTGGCCGACTTGAGCTACGGCCTCAGGCTCGTCGGTGCCTGTCGTGGTGGCAATCCCCAGACCTGCTGGTAGACACCAAAGGTTAGGGATGCTGTCAAGGGGAGGCCTGGAGTGGGAGACTTCCATACGGCTTTAAGGAGATTCTGGTCCAACATCCGGCGCCTTAGGAGGGGAAAGCAATGCGCTACCAATACTGTTTATAGAGGGGATGGTGTACTGCTGACCTCAACTTGAACGTTGTGGATCAGTGGGTGGAGTACTTCGAAGACCTCCTCAATCCCATTGGCACATCTTTTAGTGAGGAAGCAGGGTCTGGGAACTTAGGGTTGGGCTTTCCAATCTCTGGTGCTGAGGTCACTGAGGTGGTCAAAAAGCTCCTTGGTGGCAAGGCTCCAGGAGTGGACGAAATCTACTGAGTTCCTTAAGGCTCTGGATGTTGTAGAGTTGTGTTGGCTGACATGGCTCTACAGTATCGTGGAGACATCGGGGGCAGTTGCACTGGATTGGCAGACCGGGGATAGTGGTCCCCCTATTTAAAAAGGGAGACCTCAGGGTGTGTTCCAACTAGAGGGGGATCACATTTCTGAGCCTCCGTGGTAATGTCTATTCAGGGGTTGAGGAGAGGAGGGTCCGGCGGATTGTCGAACCTCAGATTCAGGAGGAGTTATGTGGTTTTCATCCTGGCCGTGGAACAGTGGACCAGCTCCTGGAGGGTGTGTGGGAGTTTGCCCAACCAATCTTCATGTGTTTTGTGGATTTGGAGAAAGCATTCTACCGCGTCCTTTGGGGGTCCCTTTCGGGAGTATGGGGTACCAGAGCTTGGCTCGCATTGCCAGCAGTAAGTCGGTCTCGTTTCCACTGAGAGTTGGACTCCGCCAAGGCTGCACTTTGTCACCGATTCTGTTCATAACTTTAATGGACAGGATTTCTAAGGCGCAGCCAAGGTGTTGAGGGGATCCTTTTTGGTGGCCTATTGATTGAGTCTCTGCTTTTTGCAGATGATGTGGTCCTGTTAGTATCATCAGAACGTGATCTCTGGCTCTCACTGGAGCGGTTCACAGCCGAGTGGGAAGCAGGGATGAGAGTCAGCTCCTCTAAATCCGAGACCATGGTCCTGAGTCGGAAAAGGGTGAAATGCCTTCTCCAGGTCAGGGTTGAGGTTGTGCCTCAAGTGGAGAAGTTTAAGTATCTCTGGATCTTGTTTACGAGTGAGGGAAAGTTGGAGCGAGAGATCGACAGGCGAATTGGTGCTGCATCTGCAACGATGCGGGCATTGTACAGATATGTCTTAGGGAAGAGAGAGCTCAGCCAGAGGGCAAAGCTCTCGATTTACCATCGATCTACATTCTAACCCTCACCTGATCACAAGCTTAGGGAAATTTATTCAGAGCTAATATGTTTCTCCAGTTTATTACTTTCCTCTACAGGTATTTCTTTTCCACAGGAACCAAATTACAAACTTTACTTTTTAAGGTTATTACGTAAGGATGCTGACAGCAATAAGGAGATGGTCTACTTTCTGAGGCCAAATGAGTGCTGTGGAGGATCAGTATGGTCTCAGCTAAATGGACTACTTTGCTCCTTTTGACAGTGTGAAACTGCTTTAAGTCTTTATCTCCAGACTGCTTCTCTGAAACGAGTCTACAGGAACAGCTCTGTAGCTACGTGCTTGGGCTGTGCCCGGCTTCTAGCCCCTATGACTAGCTGCTAGTTCCTGTCTGAGATGTTGACATTTCACAATAAACTTTCCCCTCCCACATCATCTGAATTTCTCTGGAGCTCAAGTGAAACAGTGGCAGCCTTGTTGTCCATTTGCATACATCCTGTTTACCTCAAATCACTTTACTTTTGAATTTGCACCTCCATATACAGTGTAAAAATGTGACCAGACGAGGTAACACTTTGTCCCCCTGGCTCACATTAGTGTACAAATGTAGCTTTTACTGTACAGATGGGTGACTTCCAAACGTGAAACCCCTGAAACATAATCCATCAGGTATTAAAACGCCGTTGGCTTAGTTTTATTTGTATGCAAACACTCTGGTTAAAGGCGATGCAGACCTCACAAATCAAATCCTCCTTCTGTGGCAGCATTACTATGCAGACACAATGTTTGCAGTGGGGTCTTATCATTCACTAGTGTTTTCAATCCCTTTATCACCATGGCAACCAAGAGCTCCCCCAAAGGTGGAAAAACACATTTTCATTCAGAAGCCGTGCGGCGACGCTTTGAAAAAATGTCTGCAGGTATTCCTGAGCTCAACATTATTCACCTTGTATGATTCTGGAACACTTCCTGCTCGTCTTTGACAGGTTCAGCCCTCAGCCGGTTCTGTCGGATTAGTCTGTTGCAAAGGAAGGTTCTGCAACCTCAGAATGACTAAAAGACATTCACTAACACATTTAAAGAGCAAGTCACCCCAAAATAAACTTTTTTTGCTGATTAACTAAATAAACGAGTGTCTAATCACGCTGCAGACATGTGTCGTCAATAATTTGGCACATCAGTGCATCTTAGTTAAAATTTAAATATTCTGCCTAGAACTGGCAGTGTTGTGCCGTTGTCAGGTAAAAACTCTGCACTGCATTTTAATTAAAATCTGCCACCGCTATTGGCTAAGAGGTATACTATGATGTAAACTGGTACATTATGATGTCACAATGCTGTTGTGAGCCTGTGTGTGTGTGTATTTGTTAGCAGCTCCGCCCTCTCGGTCTGCCAGGCAACAGCATTTGTTGCATTTTTCAAACATGAAGTGGGAGTGGAGTTAGACTCTGGTAGGGGTCGACTTGCTCTTTAAATAGGTTTCAATACAATAAACAAACATACACCATCACAGGTGGGCTCTCAACTTTATGTGTTTGAGGTTTCCTGTGAACCTCTGTGCAATATGTGAGCTTGTGCCGTTTTCAGCCCCGCAGCAGGGGAAGTTAAAGTATGTGACGGTAACGGGAGCCAAAACAAACGGCCAGAGAGGGAAACAGAAACCGCTCAAAAAGGTGGAGCTGATTCAACACGACTTCCTTAATTTTGCTAAATGCATTTCAAGAGTGTTTAGCCTTGCTGATGTTGTTCTAAAAGTGTTGCTGTTTGTTAAACGTCTCGTGTTTCCACTGTGGTGCAACACCAAATGCTTGCTTCACTTCCACAAGGCTGCAGTCACAAGAGAGGACTAAACCAGGTTCAGTCAGAATGCAACAAAAAAAAGGAACAATGAAATCATCAGCATTAAGACAACATGACTTTTTTTGTCAGTAAAACAACAAAAAACAAAGAATTAATCTGCTTCTAATGTTTGGTTCACTTTATTATTTGTTTCTAAGAATTCTACTTAATATGTAAAAAACTACCAAAAAGGAAAAGCTCTCTTTAAACGTGAGCTTGGGGCTAAAACTATGATTTCTCAGTATTCAGGATAAGTTTTGGTTCTCAGATTTCTCCTTGGCAGGAAGTGTTGGAAGTTGTGTCGAGCCATGCGAGACACATCAGCCATCTTTACGTTTCCGTCTCTTTTGGATGCAGAGAGGTCCTGAAAGACAATCAAACCACCAAGAGATCGTCATGGTAAGGACTGAAACGGTTTGATACCAGCCGTTCATTTGTAAATGTGACAGAAAGAAGTTCATTCAAATCTAAAGCAATAAACGTTCACTCCACACGAGTGTTGTGCTTAGACGTTCTCCAAGCACATCCGTGAGACGCTAAAGCTACTTTTATTCTGAGTAACATGACCCCAGTTTGACTCACGTTGTTCTCGTTGACAGTGATTGGTTTCTGTAAACGGAGACACTTTTCAGACTAGTTTTAGATACTCAATGCAGGAAAGAGTCACAATATAATCTCGAGGGTGCGTTCCTTCACTCACATATTAAAACAAATCAGGTGTGAAAATAAAAATTCTGCCTCAACTTCTTGTGATCTTTTCGAAGTCGTAGTCCCAAATGTGTTGTTTTTCAGTCACAGCTTGAAACTTGTTGAAACACCGAAGCAAAATAAATAAATAAATAAATAAACAAATAAGCTAACAGACAGCAGAATGTAAACACTAAATGATGTTAATAATAGCACTCAACACTATTTTACCTCTTAAAAAAGCGACAGGTGAAGAAATTTTTATTTAATATATAGAAGAAAAAAAAACAGAAAATGTGGATGTTCTGAGATTCTACTGGATAAAACATCTGCAGCATCTCACCTGCAGTTCTGCATTTGATGAGTTCTCAGAGCTCCTTGTCTCGAGACTGCTCCGGAGGTCAAGGCTGCCGGGCGGTCTCAGGGTGTTCTGACCCGTGTTCGACGAGCCTGAGAGGCAATGCTGCAACCAGACAGGCAGAGAGGCTCATGAGGGCAGAACACAGCGGCTGCAGGCGTGCTTCAGCGTAGCGAGATTCCTCTCTGGGTGATTAAAAGCATCTGTGACACAATTTTCCTCTTAAGGAAACATCTGACTGTTCCTGATAAAAGGCTTCAGATTGTGTCTATTGTTCAAGACCAACACACCATCAGATTATATTTATTTACAAATTACTTGTGAATTTTAATATTCCCAATGCAACACTGATCTTTTCCCATATTATTAAAATCTTCGTTTTATTTTATTCTTTCCAGTTTGATGGAAGTGAGGTTACATAATAACGTATGCAGAACAGATGCACATGCATCAGTTCTTTACTTTTAGTTATCCACGTAACCAGAGTGTCACCACAGCAGACCGACAGCAAAGGGAGAACAGATCTGCACTATAAATATGCATTAAAATACAAAAGGGTTATTTGAACTGCAATAAAACATCAGCTACTAGGTTCCCAGCTTCACACACCAATAATATATTTGGTAAAAATGTTGATCTCTCACTGCCCTCATACCTACACCTGGTCGAGAAGATGGTGACCAGATGTCACAGGGAGCACCGAAGGAGAAAAAAAAAGAAAAACAAAGAAAAGAGGAAAATATGAGCTTACAACTGCAACCGTCATCATGACTTTCAGCAACCGAATGATTTTCTCATGTATTTTTTTTATTAGAACCATATAATTACAACTCATTTCAGCCTTTTTTTTAATCATCTTTATGATTTTTTCCCACTACATCATCCTGCCATTTTTAAACCTTGAGTTTGGGTTCAGTGTCATGATCCAAGGCCCAATCCCAATACTCGCACTTCCACACTTACACCCTGATCCCGACCAAGGGTGCGTGTGCGTAGGTTGTCCCGATTCTCAAGTGCAAAAGTTGATCAAGCCCCTTTTGAACCCTTGATCTGCATTTTCACCCAAGTCTGCATCAAATTTGTCTAATAGCAGTATATTTATCACACCGGATGGGTGTCTGTGGTTGCAAACGTCGGGTTCTGCAGCCTCCTTGAGTCGCAGTACGATCTGCTTTCTCTTCCTAACTGTGCAGACACAGCAACTCTACGGGTGTTTTGTAGAAAGGAGTGACTCTGTTGCTGACCGTCGTGTGCCGTTTCATCTGTCACTCAAAACAGCCGCACACTTGATTTGAAATATGAGCAACAACGCTTCTTTTAAACACATTCATAATATTGACACTTTTTTATCAATGTATTCCCGAAACAAGTGATGTTGTTGGACAGATTAGCTGAGGAAATTACATGAATACAGAAAGAAATAATAATTAAAAAAATTAAAGGAAAACTTAGACGTGTTTCCCTCTTTTCTTCTTATTTAATGCTATGTTGAAGTACTGGATCGGGACTCGATATCAGCAAATACTCAAAACCAAATGGCTTGGACTGGGAACATCCCTCATAATTACAACAAAAAGTTGGCCTATTATGATACTTTTTCACCCAGCCAGCAAAAAGGTTCACTCGTCTCTTTATTAAAACAATGGTTAACCTGCAAACTCACATATCAGAGAGTTTCATACAACTCACCGATGGTAATCCCAAACTGTCAGAAGGGTCGAAGCTGCACCGCCGATGAGCTTTGTACTTATAGGGCTGCAGGAGGGCGGTGCGAGGAATGCTGACCCTTCAGAATAAAATAGGGTTTTCACCTGGTACCCATAGAAGGTTCTGTAATCCATCAGTGGTATAAACATGAAATCAGTACCTGATAAGAGCAGGCTCAGCAGCAGTGTGAGGGTGGGATGATTTATGCTTTTTGCACACTGGGCAGCACTCCTGGGAGTGAAGTGGAACTGGAAACAGTCTGCTGTTAATCCTGTAAGAGAAGGTACCTGGACAAAAGGTGAGAAAGCAGAGACAAGTGTCACTCTGGCTGTAATAAAGAGGAAAAAGAGAGCTGTATAATGAAAGAATTAATCCGTCTTACACTGATGGGATTCTGAATTTGCTTCCTGGTGGTCTTTATCTGTCAGGACTGGAGGGAACAGATGGTTCTCCTCAAAGCGCCTGAAAGATGAGTTAATGAAGCTGTAAATGACAAATCCACCATCATTTACTTAGATAATATGTATAAAAACCATACTCTGCTTTTGAATCATGGATACATTCATCCTTATAGAGCGATCGAAACACACAAAGATCTTTGAAGAACTCATCAGATTGTTCCACCAGCGTGTCCTTTGTATCCAAAACTCCTTTTAAGATGAAAACAAAAGTTGTCACATTAATTACAACAGGGCTCCATCATCCTGTAAATAGGAGCCGTTTCCTTGCTCCAACACACTTGATGTAGATGACAGGCTTCTGCAGAACTCCACATGGTGACGAGGTGATTAAACCATTCGTTCCAGGTGTAGCGTCCAGCAATAGTCAGTATTTAGGAAAAGTTTGACCATTCAACATCTGGTCAAAAAGGAGACACGAGACTGCTTGTGTCTCCTTTAAATCCGCCTGCCTCCATCCCACCAGCTGGAGCTCAGAGCCTGCAGCTCTGAACACAGACAACGAAATGTCAACAATAATGTTCTCTCCTCAAGGTCCAATCTTTCAGGACTCTTCATGCCTCCATATAAGGAACACAAGCAGCCCAGATTTCCTAAATCAGATATGACCTTCTACAACTTATAAGCTAGATAATCATTAAATAAATGTTAGTTTATTGCTACTTATAATAACTATAATATAATGAAATGTTTCATGAATCTGTGCTCAATGACTGAAGTTTGAAATGAATGTTATGTTATGATTACAGTGATTGAAATATGTTTCAGCATGTTGATATGACAAGGTCATCACCATCTGCACTCGCACAAGGACAAAGTAAAGTTAAGTTAAACTCATGACACATAGATAGTCCTTTACCCAGATCAGAGCATCCGGTATCAAAGAAGGCGTGTGTTTCTGAGACTCTTGGTAATATTCCTCAAACTTGTCAACCTCTGGTTGGCTACACAAATCACAACATGAGAACATTAAAACCAGATCACTCTGGTTTTTCCTCAGTTCTAGAGAAAGCTTCAGACTGGCCATCTGAAGCAAAACCCTCTTTAACCATCAAAGCTTTTGACACGTCGTCAAAACCTTTTTGCACTTGAGAAGCTGATAAAGCAAATAGTTCCTGCAGAACAAGCTGATATTGTTTAGACTCCTTCAGAGTCCCAGACGAGCGGTTCCATCCATCTGTCATGACTCGAGACATCTCTGGACTGAAGAGTCGGTGCCACGATACTCTACAGCCCTTCGGTGCCAGAGGTCAGCCGACCTCTCTGAACTTCGGATCCACCAAGAGGGTCTCCGAAAACGGGTGAAGTAGACACACAGATAACGTCTGATGTGCTTTTGATAATAACCAACTTCATAGCTTAACGCAAACCAAATTCTTTTACATCTGGAACTCAGCTCTCCTAGATACAGAAGTTCTGACTAACATCGCATTCACACATAGGTTCATCCATCACATCTAGTTCCATCCATCACAGTAAAATGTTAGTTAACTTGTCATGTTTTAATTGTTGGTAAAACAAATTCTTACTTTTATAAACCTGACTCTTTTCTGAATCAAAACGAAGTGTGTACAATCCCCTGATAAAGCAAGAATCCTACAATCTTCTGATTAAACACTGTAAAGACCAGGCAGGGTTGATATTCTATATTTAGATAGAGTACCACAGTTTATTGGTCATAAGTAGAGGTAATATATATATTGAGCTCTTAAAGCACTCAATTTAGCAAACCCTACACAGGTGTGCTGGAGCAGGAAACTCATAAACACGCAAGATGGTAGCCCTCTAAAGCCCCTTCACACGGAGTGCAGAACGGATGTGGACAGGTTCTGGACAGACTGCTGTTCACACTGACAGCGGTTTGTTTGCTGAATGTCTCCTGATTATCTGCTTCCATAAGAGCACCAACAGATTAGAGACTTGACATAATAGGTTTAAAACTAGACCTGTAAAAATAATGTGGACTATCATACACTGATATCGCTGTCATTACTGCAAGAAAAGCAGGCAAAAATAATGCAACACGTTTTATAACCCGGATGCACCTTGATGTTCTACGTCTCACTTCCTGTCTGGCTCATGTAATTTCTTTACCTTCATGACAATCCTCATACGGCATCAGAAAAAATAGACTCCATGCAGAAACTTTCCAGAGCTCCTCATCTGGATCTGCACCGCACCACGGCCGATGTGCATGCTCTGATTGAATTCAATGATTTTTGATCAATGCGGAAGCCATACGGAATCCGGGCCGTGTCAGTTCCACATTCGGTGTGAAAGAGGCAAAAGACTGGGGCTGGTGGTCCCGGCTGCGTCAGAAGGTCATCTCTGACATAGAAACCGGAGAGGTGTACCTGCTATCCAGTCGTATCCTAGTAAAGGCTGCAAACGATGACTGAATAAGGCAGCAGCATCCTCTTCTTCATCAGACTGAAATGCTACTTGTCTTTGGACCTCCCCCTGAGAATAAATAAAATCATAATGTTTAAATTATTTTTAGAAAATGAGCTGCTTCAAATTTGATACATGAAGCATCAGAAATGAGTGAAATCTGATAGAAAAGTCACTTTCTCTTGAACTGTTGGTTTAACTTGTATGACTCTTATAACACATAATAACGTAATCATTCTGATTTAAGTGATGATGGGAACACACCTGGTCTTTGTTTTGTCCAGCTTGACTGGACCAGAGTGGATCCTGTGTGTCCTGCAGCCTGATTGGGACATTTCTGTTTCTGTGTTGTGTCCTGCATTTAGGCGTTGCTCCTCTGGATTTGGAAGTCCCAGATGGAGAGTAAATAGTGTTTTGGTTTTCCTCGTGTAGCTCAAGGGTATCTGATAAAAACAGAAAGAACACCTTTAATCACCAGACTGTCAATCACATTCACACCTAAGACGTTAATGCAGCTCAAACGGCAGCATGCACCCCCACAAATTTTTCTAAACGACCGGTGGGAAGTGTGGTATATAATGATGTTCGGGTGGCCACCCCAACATTTATTTATGCGGCTCCAACAGCAGCATATACCCTCACACCCCAGTTGGCTGGTTCCTATTCAAAATGTTGGGAGAAAGTCGGGGGAATGAGATAATTAGGTCAGGGGGATTACTTATTAAGTCAAGGGATATACAGGTGCTGGCCAGTAAATTAGAATATCATCAAAAGGTTGAAAATATTTCAGTAATTCCATTCAAAACGTGAAACTTGTACATTATATTCATGCAATGCACACAGACCAATGTATTTCCAATGTTTATTACGTTTAATTTTGATATTTATAGGTGACAACCAATGAAAACATCAAATCTGGTATCTCAGAAAATTAGAATATTCTAAAGGCCAATGAAAAAATGTTTGTTTCTCTAATGTTGGCCAACTGAAAAGAATGAACATGAAAAGAATGTGCATGTATAGCACTCAATACTTAGTCGGGGCTCCTTTTGCCTCAATAACTGCAGTAATGCGGCGTGGCATGGACTCGATCAGTCTGTGGCACTGCTCAGGTGTTATGAGAGCCCAGGTTGCTCTGATAGTCGTCTTCAGCTCCTCTGCATTGTTGGGTCTAGCGTATTGCATCCTCCGCTTCACAATACCCCATAGATTTTCTATGGGGTTAAGGTCAGGCGAGTTTGCTGGCCAATCAAGGACAGGGATACCATGGTCCTTGAACCAGGTGCTGGTGGTTTTGGCACTGTGTGCAGGTGCCAAGTCCTGTTGAAAGGTGAAGTCTGCATCCCCATAAAGTTGGTCAGCAGCAGGAAGCATGAAGTGCTCTAAAACTTCCTGGTAGACGGCTGCATTGACCCTGGACCTCAGGAAACAGAGTGGGCCAACACCGGCAGATGACATGGCACCCCACACCATCACTGACGGTGGAAACTTTACACTGGACCTCATGCAACGTGGATTCTGTGCTTCTCCGCTCTTCCTCCAGACTCTGGGTCCTTGATTTCCAAAGGAAATGCAGAACTTGCTTTCATCAGAAAACATAACTTTGGACCACTCAGCATCAGTCCAGTCCTTTTTGTCCTTGGCCCAGGCGAGACGCTTCTTGCGCTGTTTCTTGTTCAAGAGTGGCTTGACACACGGAATGCGACACCTGAATCCCATGTCTTTCATGAGTCTCCTCGTGGTGGTTCTTGAAGCGCTGACTCCAGCTGCAGTCCACTCTTTGTGGATCTCCCCCACATTTTTGAATGGGTTTGTCGTCACAATTCTCTGCAGGGTGCGGTTATCCCTAGAGCTTGTACACTTTTTTCTACCACATTTTTTCCGTCCCTTCGCCTGTCTGTTAATGTGCTTGGACACAGAGCTCTGCGAACAGCCAGCTTCTTTAGCAATCACCTTTTGTGTCTTGCCCTCCTTGTGCAAGGTGTCAATGATTGTCTTTTGGACAGCTGTTAAGTCAGAAGTCTTCCCCATGATTGTGGTGCCTTCAAAACAAGACTGAGGGACCTTTTAAAGGCCTTTGCAGGTGTTTTGAGTAAATCAGCTGATTAGAGTGGCAGCAGGTGTCTTCTATATTCAGCCTTTTCAGAATATTCTAATTTTTTGAGATACCAAATTTGGAGTTTTCATTAGTTGTCACTTATGAATATCAAATTTAAATGTAATGAACATTGGAAATACATTGGTCTGTGTGCATTGCATGAATATAATGTACAAGTTTCACGTTTTGAATGGAATTACTGAAATATCTTCAACCTTTTGATGATATTCTAATTTACTGGCCAGCACCTGTACATAGTAAGTCAGGAGAATGACTTAATTGGGAAGGAGATAATTAGGTCAGGGAAAGGACCCATTAAGTCAAGGGAATGAGATAATCATAGCCACTATCTTGTTCCAGCAGACATGTACCTTTTTAAAATGTCTTCAGGATTTCTCATTTTCATTAATATGCAAACAAAAATTACTACTTACAGCTACAATGTTTTAATTATTTCTGATTCATGCTCATTTCCATAGGAAGGAATCAGATTATAATTGACAAGCAACGTTAATTTAAAATAAAGCTAGGTGTTATAGACATTTATCATTTTTCTTAAATGGTATTGTTACATTTGTGTCGTTTTTCTTATGTCACTGTTTTCATGAACAGGTCCAACTTGAAAATGAGACTATGGGTCTCATTTAGGCTAACACGTCTAAAGTTAAAATAAAAAACCGTAGCAAACAACAGGAAAATGTAAAAAAGAAGCCACTTAATACTCATTTCATCCACGTAAAAACTTATTTGTGTTCTAAACTCATAAAAATTCCCTACGGGGTTTAGAGCGACGTAAACGAGCAGCTAGATTGGTTAATGATGATGCGTGTATGCTTCTGTTATGTGATGAACCCGTTTATTACCGGCAAATCTCACGGAAGGTTTAGCTAGGGCTGCCCTGGCAGGAGCACGGTCTCCGTCCGTTCGAGTCACCGTCACCTCGGCCTCTCTCCCCCTCTTGCGGCTCTCGCTGCAGCCGCTGATTTGCTCTAAATTCACTCTTTGCTGCTGCAGCTGCTCCAGCAGACGTTTGTTACGCTCTCGCAAATCATCTAATCGATCTGCGGACATCCTAAAATAGACGTTCCAGAAAACAGAGCTACTTTTCACACCGCCATAAACCTGACTTGTGCTAGTTTTGTATTCAAAACAAGACCCCGCCCACGTCGTGACAACGCGTTGATCACAATGATTTGATTGGTTGAAAACTGTCTTGACAACTATTAGAATATTTTCTTAAAGAGACAGGCGCAAATTTTAAGTTTGGCCTTGCGTTACGAGAGGTTAAACAATAGAGGGCGCTGTGTATTAACTGAATACTTTATCATATTTATGCATATAGTTTTCAGCATATTTTAATACTTGTTTGTATTTCTTTTGTCGTCAACATACTGACTTTTATTCCTTTGACTTTTTTATTTTTGTTCTTTGAAAATAAAGAATTTTTCAATTTATTTCTATTCTATTCTATCATTCTAATTTTCAATAATTTTTCAATGTTTTATTGTGCTTGTGAATCGCCTTGTGATTTCTATCTTGAAAGGTGCTATATAAAACAATCTTCAATTCTATTCCATTCTGTTAATGTTCTCTCTATGTATGAAGAATATAGGTATGCCCTGTTGCTCTATCAGTCTGGTGTCAAAAGTCCTAAATAATTTTACAAATCTGCAAATTGCATGAAGAGTTGTTAGCGTGTATTTATTAGAACATGTTTTTATTTTATATGAAATTATATAAAACATTGGTTCATTACACACCATCTGTAAATATGAAAACTTAGAAACAGCAGAGCCATAATGTTAGAAAAAGAGCATTTAGATGTTATTTCAAACTAACAAATACAAATAAATAAACATATTCACAGTTTTTTTTTCATCTGTTATATTTTCAAATCCTAGTAAGAATTAAATTTCCTCAATTACTTTTCACGGCTAGTTATTGTAAGGAAACAATATCATTGACAAGAATGTCAATTATTTCTTAATATTTTCGTCGTCATCGTCTTCCTCCGCTTCTCCGGGTCGCGGGGGCAGCATCCCAACTAGGGAGCTCCAGACCGTCCTCTCCCCGGCCAACTCCACCAGCTCCTCTGGTAGGACCCCAAGGCGTTCCCGGACCAGATTGGAGATGTAACCTCTCCAACGTGTCCTGGGTCGACCCGGGGGCCTCCTGCCAACAGGACATGCCCGAAGCACCTCCCCAGGGAGGCGTCCAGGAGGCATCCTAACCAGATGCCCAAAACACCTCAACTGACTCCTTTCGATCCGGAGGAGCAGCGGTTCTACTCGAGTCCCTCCCGAATGTCCGAGCTGCTCAACCTATCTCTAAGTCTGAGCCCGGCCACCCTACGGAGGAAACACATTTCGGTCGCTTGTATCCGCAATCTCGTTCTTTCGGTCATTACCCAAAGCTCATGACCATAGGTGAGGATTGGGACAGATTGACTGGTAAACCGAGAGCCTGGCTTTCTGGATCAGCTCCCTCTTCACCACGACAGATCGGCTCAGCATCCACATCACTGCAGACGCTGAACCAATCCGCCTGTCGATCTCCCGATCCCTCCAACCCTCACTCGTGAACAAGACCCCGAGATACTTAAACTCCTCCACTTGAGGTAGGACCTCTCCCCCGAACCGGAGTTGGCAAGCCACCCTTTTCCAGTCGAGAACCATGGTCTCAGATTTGGAGGTGCTGATCCTCATCCCAGCCGCTTCACACTCGGCCGCGAACCTACCCAGCAAGAGCTGAAGGTCAGAGCTGGATAAAGCTAGGAGGACCACGTCATCCGCAAAAAGCAGAGACGAGATTCTCCTGCCACCAAACTCGACACACTCCACACCACGGCTGCGCCTAGAAATTCTGTCCATAAAAGTGATGAACAGAACTGGTGACATAGGGCAGCCCTGGCGGAGTCCAACCCCCACCGAGAACAGATTCGACTTACTTCCGGCTATGCGGACCAAACTCACGCTCCTCTGGTAAAGGGACTGAATGGCCCTTAACAGAAAGCCACCCACCCCATACTCCTGGAGCGTCCCCCACAGGGTGCCCCTGGGGACACGGTCATGAGCCTTCTCCAAATCCACAAAACACATGTGGATTGGTTGGGTAAACTCCCATGCCCCCTCCATCACCCTTGCAAGGGTATAGAGCTGGTCCACAGTTCCACGGCCAGAACGAAAACCACATTGCTCCTCCTCTATCTGAGATTCAACTATCGATCGGACCCTCCTCTCTAGTACCTTGGAGTAGACCTTTCCAGGGAGGCTGAGGAGTGTGATCCCCCTATAGTTGGAACACACCCTCAGGTCACCCTTCTTAAAGATGGGGATCACCACCTCGGTCTGCCACTCCACAGGAACTGCCCCCAATGACCACGCAATGTTGCAGAGACGTGTCAACACGACAGCCCTACAACATCCATAGCCTTGAGATACCCAGGACGAATCTCATCCGCCCCCGGGGCTCCGTCGCTGTGTAGTTGTTTGACTACCTCAGCAACTTCTGCCCCCGAGATTGGACTGTCCATCCCCAGGTCTCCCGGCTCTGGTTCCTCCAAGGAATGCGTATAGGTGGGATTGAGGAGCTCCTCAAAGTTTCTTTCCACCGTCCGACTATAACCCCAGTTGACATCAGCAGCTCCCCATCCCCACTGTAAACAGTGTGAGCGAGTTGCTGCCTTCCTCTTCTGAGGCGGCGGACAGTTTGCCAGAACCTCTTTGGAGCCGATCGATAGTCTTTCTCCATGGCCTCACCAAACTCCTCCCACACCCAAGATTTTGCCTCGGCAACTGCCACTGCTGCACCCCGCTTGGCTATCCGATACCTGTCTGCTGCCTCCGGAGACCCACAGACCAGCCACGCCCTGTAGGCCTCCTTCTTCAGCCTGACGGCTCCCCGAACCTCTGGTGTCCACCAGCGGGTAAGGGGGTTGCCATCACGACTGGCACCGGCCACCTTGCGACCACAGCTAGCAACAGCCACCTCAACAATCTCAGAGTGGAACAAGGCCCACTCGGAGTCAATGTCCTCCACTGCTCTCGGGACGCGGTCAAAGCTCTGCTGGAGGTGGGCGTTGAAGACCGTCTTGACAGGTTCTTCTGCCAGGCGTTCCCAGCAGACCCTCACTATGCATTTGGGTCTGCCAAATCTACGCGGCATCTTCCTCTGCCATCTGATCCAACTCACCACCAAGTGGTGATCAGTTGACAGCTCCACTCCTCTCTTCACTCAGGTGTCCAAAACATACGGCCGCAGGTCAGATGATACGGCTACAAAGTCTATCATCCACCTAGGCTGCCCTGGTACCAAGTGTACTGATGGGCATCCTTGTGTTCGACCATGGTGTTCGTTATGGCCAAACTGCTGCTTACACAGAAGTCCAATAACAAAACACCACTCGAGTTCAGATCAGTCGGGCCGTTCCTCCCAATCACACCCCTCCAGGTCATGCTGTCATTGCCCACGTGAGCATTGAAGTCCCCCAGCAGGACAATGCAGTCCCCTGATGGAGCACTATCTAGCACTCGTCCCAGGGACTCCAAAAAGGGTGGGTACTCTGAACTGATATTTGGCCCATAAGCACAAACAACAGTCAGGACCTGTTCCCTGACCCGAAGGCGCAGGGAAGCTACCCTCTCATCCCCCGGGGTAAACCCCAACACACAGGCAGAGAGTCTTGGGGCTAACAAAAAGCAAACCCCAGTCCTCCGCCTCTCACACAGAGCAACTCCAGCAAAGGAGAGTGTCCAACCCCTCTCAAGGACTTGAGTTCCAGGGCCAATGCTATGTGTCGAGTTGAGTCCGACTGTATCTAGCCAGTACCGCTCAACCTCTGCCACAAGCTCCTGCTCCTTCCCCGCCAGCGAGGTGACGTTCCATGTCCCAAAAACCAGTTTCCTTGTCCGGGGATCGGTCCGCCACGGCTCCCGCCTCAGTCTACCACCCGATCCACACTGCACCGGACCCTTCATGATCCTCCTGCGGGTGGTGGGTCCACAGTTGGATGAGCCCATGTATCCGGTTCGGGCTGGGCCCGGCCGGGCCCCATGGGCGAAAGCCCGGCCACCAGGCGCTCGCTCACAGGCCCCAACCCCAGGCCTGGCTCCAGGGTGGGACCCCGGTAACCCTCCAGGCCGGGTATTCCGACTCTTTGAATTTACATCCATGAAAGATCCTCTGAACCGTTCGTTGTCTTACCCTTCACCTAAGACCAATTTGTCATGGGAGACCCTACCAGGTGCACAAAGTGCCCCAGACAACATAGCTCCTAGGATCATTAGGGCACTCAAACTCCTCCACCACGTTAAGGTGACGGTTCATAAATCGTCATTATATTTTACAAAACTTATTTTAAAGAACATGGATAAAAAACTAACTGAGAAATAAACAAACTAAGGTGACAGTGTCCTGATCTTGAACATTGCAAATAACACTGCAGTGTTGATAAAATAACTCCCACTTGGCCCAAAACAGTTCCATAGATCACAAAGAAAATGCAAGAAAACTTCTATAAACCAATACTAGGCACAAAAGGAGCCCGAGAGTTGGGATAAAACTCTTACATGAGTAGAGACAAGTGATAATTAAATAAGCAGGGAAGCAGGAAAGTGTGGGGTTCTATTCAATAACAGCAATAAAAATAAACTGTATTACTTGTAGTCGTGATCATTAATATTTATTCTTTGTGACCAATTAAGATAAAAAAGTTGAAAAGTTTCTGATGAAAAAAAATCAGTCTGTCTTTTCTTTTGCAGATTTACCTTAAACTGATTTATCACATGGAAAAGCACACGCTTTAGCATCACAGAAAGATTTCCTTTGACATCCCTCTAAATCGGTTAATAATCCTTCAAATCCACTTGCCTGGTGGGGTGGGGTGGGGGGGGGGGGTTAACTTTAAAAAGCGACTGAAACACCTACAGTTGGTTTTCACTGATGCTGACAGATAGGTTTTAGTTTAATCAAATATTTATTACTCTGGTGATAAATTATAATGATATTTCACAGCAAAATTGTTTCTGGTGAACTCCAAAGTCGTCTTGACTACTATTTCTTCAGGCTTTCTGAAACATTTTATTTGTTTGCATTGGGACTTGCCATTGTTTGTCATTCATATTGTGTCCTTCCTGACTAAAACACC